TGTGGTCGCGTTAGCTTGCGTTCTTGAGATCTTAGCCTACAGCGCTCGCAGTGGGAAGGTATATTCAATGATTACGCTCTGTTTACGAAAACCAGAACATTTTATTGTATGTACATTTGGTGTGTGTGTCTGTGTGTATGTATGCTACTTCATTGTAGCGGCTCTCTTCCAGGGCCGGATCCTGGGAGGTCGTTTTGACCCTGAGAAGATTCCGCGTAATGCGGGCTTCTTTGGTGAGCCGACGTGGGCTCGGAACTTCTCCGGCCGTGCACGTTTGCGTGGGGACCCTGTCTGTCGGACGCGTGGGTCTGGATTTTTGGGCGTCGTCTGGATCCTGACGACGCCTGGTGCTAGCGTAGGCTTCCGGGGCGACGTCTGCGTGGCTTTGTGCGCCTGGGCCGTGGATGACTTCTTTCCTGCTGGCGATAGATATCGGGGTGAGAGCGGTCGGCGGGCTCTCACGTCCCACGTCGTGAGCCTCTCCAACGGTGGCCGGGTGCACCTTACTGGAGCGAGGCACAGGGACGTCAGCCTCCAAGGCTGTAGAGTTACCGCTTTCTCTCTTCCTGCGTCCTCGTTCGCTATCAGTGTGGGTCGCCTGAGCGATTCCCCGTGGCGCAGTCGCTTCCGCGGAGATGGCGTGCGAGGTAAGCGAGTTGGGGACGGCGTCGCTGGCAGGGAGGACCAAGTGGAAACTGGAGAGCCGAGCTCGGGTCCTACATGTTCCTCGTCAGTAAAGTCCTCGCTGTCACTCCCGAACAATGCGTGACATTGCTTGCGGAGTCGTGAACGGGCGGTCTCTCTAGCCTCACCCTGAGGCTGGTTCCTGTCAGGCTTCAGGTTGCCGGTGGAGATTGTCTTGTGGTAGATTTTTCCTCCTAGGAGGTTCGGCTGCTCGTATTTAATCTATCGATTGTTCCTCGCTGGAGGTCGAGAGCGGAGTCTGTCTTTCCGGCGTTTTCGCCCGCTATTTATACCCAAGACCTTTAACCGTGTGTAGTATCGGTGCTTTACTTTTCTGAGAAAATCGCGAGGCTCGCGATTCCTCGAATTTAATTAGGTCCCGTGCTTCCACGAATTCATCGCGGGCTTGTATTCGCCGTTGCCCCTCTTCCGAATCTCGAGGCTCGCGATTCTTTGAACTCGCGCAGGTCCGCGCTTCCGCGAATTCTCGCGGGCTCGTATTTACTATTGCCCTTCTTCCGAAATCTCGAGGCTCGCGATTCTTCGAACTCGCGCAGGTCCGCGTTTCCACGAATTCTCGCGGGCTCGAGCTTATCTCGCTCCGCCGCGTTTCTCGGAAACGCGTCGCGAGACTCGCGGTTCTCGGAAAGGACCGTGCGCAAGGTGTGCTCCGTAAGCGTCCCTTTAACTGGGAGCGATGCACCTTGCGTGGCGTCTCGTTCTCTGAGACGCCACATCACCCCCTTTGTTGTTTAAAGGTCGGTATGGTGAAACGTACGGGAGGTTTCGTGGCTCTCCCGCTTTTCGTTCTTGAGACTGACTTGTCCGCGTTCTCTTGCGCGATCGTGGTTTGCTGCTCCTGTCTCGCTGGCGCCTTTGGGAGATTTGTTTCCTCCGTTAAAACGTATGCTGGTTTTAGGCGATCAATAGAGACGTTGGTTACTTTCGCTCCGATCTTTATTTTAAAGAATTTCGGATGTCGCTGCGTGATCTCGAACGG